CCAGAACACAAATAGCCAAAAGCCAAAACACAAATGGCCAAAACAAAACAGTTTACACATGACGCCAACAGTTGTTTCACCCCTCCAATCAGGCTTGTATACTCCTAAACTCTCTCTCTATTTTTATTATTTTCCTTTAATTAATTAATCGTTATTATTTTTATTAATCACTAACCAATTAACATTTTTTCCTAATAAAATCAAAAGCGCAAAAATATTTTATTTATTAAAATTAACTTCATCACTTTTATTTTTGTAAATAAATTAATTTAATCAATTTAGCTTTAATTAGATTTAACTTTTAATATTTTTTGCAATATTTAAAATCAATTTAGAATATTAGGTTTTTATTAGCATTAATTCAATTTATTTTATTTCTTTAAAAACTCAAAAATCCAAAAATATTTTTATTATTTAATTTAATTGTTCATTTAATTTAATTTCATTTAATTCAAAAATAAACAAAAATCCTTTCTTTAATAAAAAATGGTCAAAACCCAAAAAACTCGCATCCGATTTAATTTCCCGCACACGATCCATTTTATCATATTATTGTATCTGTTTCCCGGAATGTAATAGCTTTTAATTAGGACTTTAATTATTTATCGCTTTATTTTACTTTCCGCATTTTAATTTCAAGGGTTGTTTTTGGCGATGTAAATACCTGACGCCTTGTAATAGTTTAGATTTTATTTCCGCAATTTAAATTCCGCAACTATTAACTGTTAGATGTTTGATAAATAGGGAATGCATGACAAGATCAATCTTAAATTAAAATCAATCGTAGCTCACCATAACATGTATAAAGATAACATAAACTGAAACCTGACACACTTGCACATGCCACTCCTAGGGTACGCCTCACTTGGTTGCCTCGAGGTGGTCATTGAGTATAGGGTGTTTTAGAGGTCGCCCTCCTGTCTAAAGATCCAGTTGCCTCGAAACGGTTGCCTCGGATAAAAAGGATATAGGACATTAGGGTTACCGCTAAGGTGTCCTACTATTGTTTTAGTGACCACACATGTCCCTTATAATCAAATTGACCCGAATAATTCCAACGACGGTGCTACCTACTTCTCAATAGTGGGATAGTACTGTCTAAAGGACTCTTACACAGCCTAATTCCTTAGAGTAGGTAGATTTCTCCTGGGTACTTGCTCTCTCAAAAACAAACAAAATACTTTTCACACTTACACTTTCGAAAAGTTTTCAAACAAATATTTAATACACTCTTGAGGACAGATACAAGAGTTACTTAGAAATTTTTCAAACGAAACTTTTTCAAAACCCACACACACTTGAAAAGCAAACAATCTTTTGAAAACATAAGAGCAAGTACCTAAGAGCCCGTGGATAACCACGGATAGAAAGGGTGCTAACACCTTCCCTTTCTATAAATCTACCTCCCGAACCGAGAAACATTCTCAAAGAAGGAATTTTGTTGTGTTTTTGTCCTTTCCATGTTGGAGAACATAAAAGACGGTGGCGACTCTTGCTTACCGCGACATTTCGCGAATCAGCTTAAAAAAAGTCAGTTCTATTTCCACCGATCACAATCTCACTCCCTACCTATAAATCCAAATATTGAAGTAACTCAACAAGAACTTGCAAAAGTTCTATCAGATATTGAAACCTTTGACCAGCATATATCTGCTCTCATACCAGTAAATCCAAACTCTGAAACCATTTCAGAAGCACCTCAACCAGAAATTCCACTCTCTCCTCTACCAGAAACTCATCCAACTTCTCCACAACCTGAACCATTACAACCAGAAGTGCAAACTTCTGAGGTCCAACCCCCTGAATCCTGCGAACCAGAACTTCATCACCATCAATCCAACCAAACTATTGATTCTGATCCTATTCCCATTCTTGGAATCACTGAACCTCTAAACATCAGTATACCCCTGACCATTCTGGATATTCTCCAAATTCCTTCTTCACTAGAATCAACTCCACCAAACTCCCCAACAAGTCTAATAATCATTCTAGACTCTCCCACTTCCTCAACAAAGATCAATCCAAATGATAACACCAAAACTGTCATTGATTTAACTATTTTTGAACGCCTGGCTGCCATAACCAACAAAACAGCCATTCCAAAACCAAAACCATATGAACCTACACCAGATGTTGGTACCAGTTTATTGATATTTGAAACAGAAATGCAGAAGTGGATAACTTCCCTGAAGCAAGCAAGTCTTGAGCTGATTGATCCTGCTGCATCAGATTATCTTTGGACAAGTTTCAGAAAATGGGTATGTTCTAAAACTCATAAAATGCAAGAACAAAGCTACGGACAAGTTCAACAGAACTTCAGTAACCTGCTAAAAGTATTTGAAGATCAAGTTCTGAGCCAGCTGCTCAAGGAAGAAGTTCTCCCTCTGGACAATGCTCCCTGGTCAGAACATCGTTCAGCAGATAAAGTTCAACCAGTGTCAGAAGATCTCAATCTGACTGATACTCCAGAGCAGATGATTCCTGCTGAAGAACTAGGTCAAAAAGAGGACATTGCATAATGCTCTGAGAAACATCCAGTTACTGAAGATTCTCAAGCTTCCTCCTATGAAAGGCAGACTCTAGAAGACCTGAAGAGTTCTGATATTTTGATGCAGGAAAGAATGGATAAACAGGATGACAAATTTTCGGAAATCAAGAGCATGTTAACCAAGCAAGAGGAAACCAACATCCAGATCAAGGGCTTGTTGGAAGCTTTGTTCACGCGTCTTCCTCCTCCCTCTTAGATTTTCCTCTGTTTAAAAATTTGTTTTTCTGTAATATTCTCTACATAGCTCTGAACTTATCGTTGATTCTATTTTTAATACCAACTCATTTTGGCTCTGATTATGTGTTCTTTTTGATAACTGACAAAAAGGGGGAGAAAGAAAAAGATATTTTCAATAACGGATTACTGATACATAAGTCTCAAACATTCTAATCTACTTAAATTCTCTCTTCTAAAAAGCTTGAACAGGTACAAAACTCTACTGAAAGACACAGTAAGATTCTGATGCTCAAAGACTCATGGAATTAAAAGGAAGTAATTAACTCAGGGGGAGTTTTTCTTCTTAATTCTATATTTTTGTTCTTTATTCTTTATTGAAAAATCTGGTTTTTGTCATCATCAAAAAGGGGGAGATTGTTAGAACATAGTTTGATTCTACAACCCTTGATTAAAGTTTTGATGATAACAAAATACAAAGAATAATATTATTCCTAAGGTATATACAAAGAACAATTATGCTCCTTAAAATTATGCTTTGTATATGCAGAAGTTCTGATGGAATCAGCATCAGAATGGAATCAGCATCAGAAGATCAGCAACCTATGGTACACGCTGAAACACTGAAGTTTGATGACCAGAATTTGCGCCTAAACAAATACACTCTGACTCTGATCAAAGACATCTTTACCAAGTCATCAACACTCTGAAGCGTTATCAGCAGATATAGCAAAGAAGACTCTGAAGTGTTACTGGTTATTCAAGACAGAATTAAATGCTAACGGCTTTCTTCAGACAAAGATCTTCTACAAAAGGAAAGTGCATTATTATCATTAAAACTGCTTTATGGATAACGTATCCTTACTTGCCTATATAAACAGGACTGCTTGTGAAAAGAAGCACATACGTACGCACTCAATTTTTGCTAAGCTATCCAAACCACGCATATTCAAAGCTTAAGCAAAGTCATTTTATTCCAAGCTTATTTTAGTGTAATTATCACAGTTGTGATATACAGTTTTGTAAGAAAACAAAAACACACTTGTTCAATTCATTTGTAAAAGAAGTTCCTTGAGATTAACCGGATTGTGGTTGTACTCAAGAAGACTTTAATAGTTGTTAAAGTAGCTGTTGTAATTCTTTGAGAATAGTGAATTAAGACCTCGTTGGAGAGAGGCGAAATCACCTTGACGGGTGGACTGGAGTAGTTTGAGATCAAACGAACCACGATAAAAATACTGTGTTGTCAAGCCATTTATTTTAAAGTTTTACAATTCAACCCCCCCCCCCCCCCCTTCTTGTGTTTTTCACATCTTCAAAAATGCCCTTGAAATTGCATAGTTCTTAATGTATAACATATGATCTTTACTTGTTCCAAAATCTTTCTCTCTAACTATACCAACCTTTCATAACTTTTCTGCATTTAACTCCTGGAACCTAGGAACAATTCTTTCACATGTTGCTATGGAAATCGATTCCAACTCAACACCATTAACTTTAACTTCTACTTTAATTAGATCCAAGTTAACATATTTTCTCTCAAGATCAGCCACAACAAATTGACCAATTAAGTTGTTGTCATCACCATAACCTTTACTATCCTTGAGAGCCTTCAAAAACTTTGCAACTCCACTTTGTGCAATAGTTCCAAGAAAGTTAACTAGTTCATAGATTGAGTTTGCAAGAATCCAATCAACTTTACCAATAGTATCAAATTGATTGACCATAATGTCAAAATATCCAGGATAATATCCATACTTATACAAAAAGGTAGGAAAATCCCCTTGAGCAAGTTTAGGAAATTAATGCAACAAATACTCATATTTTGAAAGTTCTAACTCAATAAACTTCTCATAAGTCTGAAAATATATACTATTAACAGAATAAGATTGAGTGAAAAAAACCATACTGAGTAACCCAAAGCTCTTACCAACATCAAGAGCCAAAGGAAAAAAACATTAAAGATAACACAACTTGATAGAGTTTAAGGTGGACAGTTTCTGAAGAAGCTCAGAAAGTGATTCATATCCAACTCTCCAAAAGATTTCTTTGTAAATCTCTAAGTTTTCTGCTGCTGATAAATCTCCTTCATCATATCCATCTGAGATGCTTTCAACTTCGATTGAAGTAAGGTTTTTGTAGCTAATAGTTTCCTAAAGAGAAGGAACTGTTATGAGTGTTAACTTAACAGCAACAACTCCTCTTTTATCAGCCTCTCTCAAGAACACGTGTCTGTCGTTTTTACTTCCCACACAACACACAAACAAATTACCAGAAGTTATAGCCTAGAATCATGTTGAATTCCACTAATTCTAACTTCTAAATTCTCGTAAACCGAAACGGGAACCACTTTACTCTCATCTAAAATCCCAACTAAAGTCATTTGAAACCTAGGTTCAACTATTCTAGATTTCTTACTATTCATTAAACTATCAAAAGCTAAATCAAATAAAGAATCAGAATTAGAACCTAAATTACCATCTTCGGTGAAATCTCCCGGAGTTTCATCATAATTCACTATAAATCCCTTGAGGCGCTTGATTTCTTTTAAATTGTCGACTTGATATGGTTGAAGCTTTTCGTGAACGACTTCGATAATATCCTCTTTGGCGGGATTAGGTTTGAGAAGACCTTGGTTAACGAAATCTTTGCATTTGAGAGCGATTGCTTTTTCAATTTCACCAAGCAAATCATCTTGAAAGGATTCAATAGAGGAAGCTTCGTCGGAAACGTCATCGGCATCTAATTAAAAAGAACCAAAACTGGAAATACATTTCTGATTTATAACCGAAAGTGTATTTCTGGTTTTTTTTCATTACAGAATATAGGAAAACAACACTTACACATTACATCAAGATTCCCAAACAAAACATAAAATTATATAAAGTAAGCAATACATATGGGATTTAAACATATATGCGACATTACACTTCAACATCTGGGTGAACGTTGCAACAACTTCAAAATTTCATCGATCGTTCTTGTAATCATCACATCAAGCTTGATTTGAACTTTTTCGTCGTAACCGAAAAAGGTTTCTCACATAGCCCGTAAATTAGTACTTGTTTGTATCTCTTTGTTGATGAACTCAAGCTTTCAGTCGTTGTTAATGGATAGGGAGCGGTACTCAATCTTCAAAATTTTCCAATTGTCGCCAAATGGTAAAAGTCTTTGTATTGTGTAATAAAGATCTTCAAGCGGTTCGTACATTTTAGTCTTGAATTCCCTTGATGGTAGATCCCCGGTAACGAAGTGAACCTTTCTAACATGCCAAATGATATTCATTTTTTATTTTAGTGTTTAGACACGAGATAACACGAGGGAAAGGGACGAGATTCTTATATAGTAGTTTAAGGATTTTATAGACCACACACACTCTATCTGCTGAAAAAATGAAAATCGGAAATGTATTTTTAGTTACACCTTATTATTTGTCAACTGACATCCACGTAGCTTAAATGGACACTGACATCTTCTTGAACTAGTATCATATCTTTTGAAATTCTTGATAGACCGCCTATATATACCACTTCTTTCACATGTCAATGTCACAAATGCGGATCGTCTATCTGAACCACTATCGGACCTTCCTATCACAACACCAACGCCTTGTTTGGTGGTTTCCGTATGAATTCACTGCATCATGACCTCTCGAGATTCATATTTTTGTTCATTTGTAAAATGTTTCCGCACATCGATCGCCTTGATAAGAATAGACGAAACAACAATAGGCGAAACACCTTGAGACACAATAGGAGAACACACCTTGGGAAAGAATATGCGAGACACCTTGAGACACATTAGGCGAAACACCTTGAGACACAATAGATTTGAACAATTATCGAGAGGCACCATACCCAATTGTAAAAATAGATTAAACTGATAAATATCCTAGGCAGATAAGAAAACTGAAGTTGCTAGAAATAACTGTTACAGGAACCATAAGTACATTTCCGGTTAAGTTCATCTGTAAATCGGAAATATATTTCCAGTATTAACATGACATTTTTTTCACAGAAAGAACAAATTAATGTGGTTAATGTAGATTGAAAAGAGAAAGCTTTACCTTAAATTTAGTTTCCTTTAGCTTTTTTTTTTTTTATATAATGCACCACAAGAATGTTGATTTTGAGTGAAAAATGATATTGAGAATGTGAGGGTTTTTTGGGAGTATTTTGATCACCTTTTGAAATGAGCATGATCAATACCCCATAAACCTTATTGTTTTAAGCTTTTGATTTCTCAGAATAAATCGGAAATGTATATCCGATTTATAAGTAACATTTTTTTTGTTTTTCCCGTACACAATTTTCAAATATATATCTCTGATTTCTATCGGTGTTACATTTCTGATATATTTCTTACATTGAATAAGGATATAAGAAAATTTTACATAATTTGATGAGTGTAAGATACACTCCAAAAATACATTTTCAAAAATATTTTTAATTTTGCATAAGATATTTTTCCTCCAGCGATAAGAAATTCTCATAATTTTTCTTCATAATATAATATTTAAATTTTCTTTAAAATATTTAAATTCTCTTATCTAAGTTCGTAGTCTTAACCAAATTACTCTCTATCACTAGCAATTTTTTTCCATTCCATGATTCCATGTACTCTACAGTCACATTACCACCACCCACTCTCACCACTACAGACATTATTGCTCCGATAATCATGGGTTAAGTTTACCATTTATTTCAAATTTTCTTTTCATACTCATTTTCCTTAATTACGCCCAACAAAAACCACCAACTCTTCTCTATCATCATAATAACAAGGGCTCACACTTCCATATCTGATATCACATCCTATCCCCAAACATTTATGTAATCTAACTAGTAAACACTTATGATTATGACTTATGTTATTTTACGCCTCTTGGGGTTGGTAACTATCTTATCCTGCGCACCCTCCTCGTGGTTGTTCTGACACCAAACCAGCGAGTCATACCCAGCACGTGTTCGTTATGCAAATGCCTAATTTTTTATTCAAATATTATTGACTCACTGGTCCCACTCAACTTCTACTACCACTTCTCAAACTTTTTAACTTCTTTCTCTTTGACTCTGACTCTGTCTCAGTGACTCAGTTTCAGACTCAGCCAATGACGCGAAAGGTTTCAAATTTCTCCGATCTGATCCAAAGGGTCACCGCTTCGTGTCTTCTCAACCCACTTGTTTCAGTAAGAAATGTAGTTGAAGATGACTCGCCCTACGAATCAGAAGAAAACAGAGACGAAGAAGAACAAGAAAATTATCATAATGATGATGATAATGATGGTGATGGTGATGAGGATGAAACCTTTGAGGAAGAGAATGACGATTTCAAAGAAGACACAATGGTGGGGTTGAAGATTCTGAAGGTGAAGCAAATGGAAGTGTTAATGGAGGAAGTTTTCGAAACGGTGTCGTCTATGAAGAGATCATACGTAAAGTTACAAGAAGCACATTCTCCTTGGGACCCAGAGAAGATGAGGGTTGCTGATGTAGCGGTGGTTTCTGAGCTGAGGAAGCTTGCTGTATTAAGGGAACGGTTCCGTCGGAATGGCGGTGGAGGTGGGAAGAAGAGTGGTAGGAGAAGAGGCTTTGGTGTGGCGTCAGTGAGGGAGGTTGTGGCGCCGTATGAGGCGGTGGTGGAGGAGTTAAAGAATGAGGTGAAGGTGAAGGATTTGGAAGTTCGGAATTTGAAAGAGAAGCTTGAAGGTGTTGTTGCTCTTTCAAGTAATGGTAGTGGTGAAAAGAAGCCAGGAAGATCTATGTCTAAGAGAAAACTAGGAATTCAAGGTACATTATGATTATGAATGACCCTTTGTTTTTTACATAGATTATTAGTTTTATAAAAATGTTGTGTTTCATGTTTGAATCTTTGGATTATTCAGGAAAAAGTTACTTTTTTGGTTTAGACTTTGTTTAGATTTGATGCTTTGAGTAGAGAAGTGCTTTTTTTCAAAGTGATTCTATGCATGTGCATTTAGGTTTAGCTTTTCCGAAGCTGATTCAATCTAATACAAAGTTACTGGTTTTTTTGTGAAATTTATTCTGCAGCAATTATTGCAATGCCAACAGCAGAACTGTATGAAACAACTATGGTGCAAGTAAGAGAAGCATCAAAATCTTTCACATCTATGCTTTTAACTCTAATGCACAATGCACATTGGGATATAACAGCTGCTGTTCGTTCGATCGAAGCAGCAACTGCTTCTACTGACAAATATCATAATACTTCGACTTCATCGATTGTATCAGCTCATCATGCTAAGTATGCGCTTGACTCTTATATATCCAGGAAGCTCTTTCAAGGGTTTGATCATGAAACTTTCTACATGGATGGTAGCCTCTCTTCACTCCTCAACCCTGATCAGTTTCGTCGCGATTGCTTCATTCAATATAGAGACATGAAGTCCATGGATCCTGCTGAGCTTCTTGGGATCTTACCAACGTGTCATTTTGGCAAATTTTGTTCCAAGAAGTACCTTGCCATTGTTCATCCCAAGATGGAGGAGTCCTTGTTTGGTAACTTGGAGCAGAATGGTCAAGTCCAAGCAGGAAATCATCCGAGGAGTGAGTTCTATAATGAATTTTTAGGGTTGGCAAAGACTGTGTGGTTGTTTCATTTACTAGCATTTTCATTGAATCCTCCGCCGAGTCTGTTTGAGGCAAGTCGTGGAGCTGAGTTCCATCCACAGTATATGGATAGTGTTGTGAAATTTTCTGGTGGGCGGGTACCAGCTGGTCAGGTCGTAGGGTTTCCGGTTAGTCCTGGATTTAAGCTTGGAAATGGATCTGTTATAAAGGCTAGGGTTTATTTGATAGCCAGAACATAATGTTTTAGAAGAGATGAGAGTAATTGAGTTATTTGTGTAGCAGGATTAATAGGATATTGATGTAATATGGAAATCCTTTCGCTAGGTTATTGTTTTTCGGGTTAATTTAGTTTGAACATGTACTCTCATGACAATATTTTGAATTTGATCTTGAAGTCATAATGGTATAGTTAATTTTCAAGTTATGATACCGAGCAAATACTTTTTTCGATGTATCTTTTGGCTTATGGTTCATGAAGGAAAGAGAATTATTGGATGAGCATTGATCACTACATGCTCCCAAACCCAACCTATGGAAATCTGAAAATGCCACTTGTCATTGTTTGGAGATTAAAATCCCAACGCACCACAGTACAACAAATCTCTTAATCAGAAACACACCTTCATCTTTCATCTTAGTAAAAAATATCTACAAACTTTAATATCCAAATACACCTTATTAAAATCTGGATATGTGATAACTGATAACAAAGGGGTGAGTCTGGTTTTTAATCTTTAGACGCACCATGAAAAAAATTATAAGCATTGTTTGGGTGTGAGTTTCGTAAGAAAAGGGATGAATTCGAATTGCAATATCCAAACAAACTCCTAAATAGTATTATGAATTCTTGAACAGTATTATAAACTATTAGACTACTACATATGTGAACTCTTATGAGTTACCTCTTTAACATTGGTGCTAAAACCATTAGCACTACTACATATGTGAACTCTTATGAGTTACCTCTTTAACATTGGTGCTAAGAACTGAATGATATTCTCTTAATGAATTTCTTTTTTGTGAACTAGGAGGTGACTTTTAAGTATATATATATATATATATATATATATATATATATATATATATATATATATATATATATATATATATATATATATATATATATATATATATATATATTAACTCATTCATAACAAAATATCATGGCATTTTCACAGCATAAACCATGCACATAAGTCATTTATAATTAAGAACAAATTTTCACAATTTATTTATAAACCAAACATTTGTCATACA